TGTTGTGTTGTAATTATGTCAGATAGTTTCTTGCGTGACCTCACCACACAGGACGGACGTCCCTCTGATGAACCCGTCGGTGGTCGTCCTCGAGGAGGACCAATTTACTGAGTCTGTGCACAAAGCGGGTTCCAGCAGACCAAATCTGAGGGGTCCATGTGATAAACAGACATTAGTTTAGTTACATTGAGGCCAGACTTTGTATTAACAGTCCTACGCTGAATTCTGTTGGCTTTAAAATTCTTTAAAGTGGCATAATAATAATAATTTGAATACTAATGTCTGTCCGAGTCACTGTCTTTCTCTGGAGGAAGTAACACAAAGGTGATTGACATACCTGGAAAAAATTGTTTTGAAAAGTCATCCATCAAAACTGTTCACCATATTTGATGTAATTCTGGTTTGAATTTGGATTTACTAAATATAGATTAGATTTAAATTGTGTTGTCAGAGTTCATTAAGCAGAGCAAATAAAAAAGTATGATTGATGTGGAAAATATTATGATTTAATATTCTACAATATGAAAGTACTTGCGATTATTCCCGTCTCTCGGGGTACACCTTGGTACAAGTTGGCTGGGATGGGCTCCAGCCCCCCCGCGACCCTGTGTGCAAGATAAGCGGTTTGACAATGGATGGATGGATGGATGAAAGTACTTGCTTTTTTGTCGAGTTCCAAAAATGCAAAAAGTATACCTGAATTACCGCGTTCTGTAATTCAGGTTAAACGCAGTTGCGATGTGCTGTGTATTAGCAACACGCTACTGTTTAATACAATATCCGTTCCATTTATGCAACCAGGAATTGTTACGTCATCGCTCTTTACGGCAAGATTCCATTACAATAGACATGTCAGAACACAGATGTTGCTTCAGCTGAGTGTTCAGGACCAACTTCTACAGTCTGCATACATGTTGTGCGTGCGGAGTCCATGTAATGCTGATGAGAGGAAAGTATGGCTGTAGGTCGAAAGCAGTGAAACAGTTTGGGTTGTAATAAGATTTGTGCAATTCATAAGAATAAAAATAGCAGAGCCTGCAACAGTTGCTGACACCAGTGACGTACAGTTGATTGTATTTGAGCTGGAAATCCAGCAGCAAATCCAACACGTGGTGGGGCTGTCCTCCGCCTACTGCAGCTGAACATACAACACATAGGATAGTAGAATATGTCATCATGTCTTACTCCGTTTTGTATGTGTTTTTATATGCATATTATCTGTATATTGTACAAATTACTTCTTTAATGTCCACATGAGTTTTCTCTGCCTTTTTATAATCAAGTGTCGCTGTGTTACTCCGTCTAAATGAATCACCGCCTCGCCCCACTTTCCACTCCACCTCCTGTCAGTGAGCTGCCATAACAATAGTGCATAATCACGGAGCATATGATGGGACATGCAGGCTCAGTCAGACTTCCCATTTCTTGCGGTTTTACGCTGTAATGTATCATCTGGTCCTTCGGTTTGGAGAAACTCACACAGAACAGGAAGTAAGAGACGAGACATTCAGTAGCAGCTTGAGCTCTGCAGAGACAAAACTGCTCCGGGGGATGTTCGAGAGACATTCGGTGACTGGGGTACGACTTCGAGAACACGATCGGGCAAGTAACTTTATTCTAAAAAAGTTTTATTTTCTCACACTGGGGACTTTAGGGAATGCGAGTCCACTATTGTGATTTAGCCTGCTGCTTGTTTGTCCTTTGAGTTTTGCTGAAAAACCCTTTTGCAAACATATAATGAATTCCAAGTCCAACACGATGTGAGTTAATCATACAGCTTTTTAAAGTCATTTGTCATGTTTTTATTTCCTACATTTGATTTTGTATTTTTAAATATTCTAGGAGTTTTAAAATGCTCCTTTCTTGATCACGTACAAGTTCCTCCTTTTCTTTTTTTATTACTGTGATCAAACAATATTACTAAAACAAGAAGTACATGCTGACATGACACCCTGTTGTTATTTTTAGGATAAACCAAGATCTGTGAGAGAATACAGCCACTTAAGGCGCACTGAGATTGCCCAGATCTTGTTGCAATAACGCTGCGCCGAAGTTGGTACCGACTTCCTGTTTTGTGGCCGAGCATCGGCTCAAGTGATCTGTGAGTATGTTCGCGCTCACGTTGCTTTGCAGCAGATGTAAAAGGCTTCCTGTATGTTCCTGTGCAATGCAATGGAGGCGTTTTCCTCTGCGAGGCGTTTCACCTTCGCCATACTTCAAAACTGCAATAATCCTTCTTGTTAATCAACATTGTTGCATTAAAATCAAACACTGACAATTACTACACGGACGCAAAAGGCTCGAGGGGTCAGGGGTCAAAGGGACCCCCTGAGTCAGTTTAAATGTATGCCTCGTTTAAAACTTAAATCAAAAAACTACAAACAGACGACAACATAAAGCACTTTAAGCTTAATATTTTTTAACTTTTTTAATATTTTAAATGTTAAACTATAACTTTATTCTCTTGTTTTATACTTACCCATAGCCTTATTCTATCCTTTTACATGTCTAACAAGGGAACAACGAGCTTGTATGGACGGGCGGGACAGCAAGCCACTGACTGACCTTTACAACAACCCCTTTTGAAAGTAAAACACTGTCTTCTCATTTCCTCTATATTGCAGCTCTGGGATGTTCACGCCGTGTTAGTGCAGAGGAGGCCGGAGTATGGAGCTGGTGTCCGTGCTGCACGAGTTCGAGTACACGGCGAATGACGGTCGCCTCGTGTCCATCAAGCCCGACGAAAGCTACGTCCTGGTCTCCAGAACCAACGAGCACTGGTGGCACGTCCGCAGGGACCAGCGCTCCAGACCCTTCTACGTCCCCGTGCAGTACGTGAGGGCGCTCGCGTCCCCCTCCGAGGACTCTCCCGGGCCTACCGAGGCCGACGCGAGGCCGCGTGAAGCGGCTACTCGCACGTCGGCTCCGGAGGCTTCCAGAGAGACTCGCCGCTTCTCCACTTTTGGTTTCTGTGAGAACAAACCAGATGTGGCGCTCCGTGTGAGGCGAGAGGAGGAACAAGCCCCCGGCGGCTGTGCACGCAAACAGGACGACGCGAGAACGAGCGACTCAACACCAGTATATTCATTTACGTCTGGGCATCTGAGTGAGGACGGCCCGCTGTACGCGCGACCTCATCCTGTGTCAAAGGTCAAAACCAGACAGAGTCAAACGGATGAGAAAGTGGAGCAGCAACGCGCTTTTGTACTGGATGAGGACACGGATTACCCTTTACCCCCTAATTCTCCCATATTTGGCACAATACCGGAGCTGAACATCTCCAAATCTTCGAAGCTGCCCGGTCGCGTCGCTTCCAATGACACGTTCATGTTTGAGCGGCAGGACTCAGATCAAGATGCAGAAGTTACTTCTTCTACGGATGGAGATCCCTCTGAGCAGGTGAGTCTGTTTATTTCAGTCTCCCTGTTTTCCATTCATCACTCGGTATTCTGTGAGATCAGAACGCGTCCCTGAGGTATCGCGGCCAGCAGGTGGCGCAGTTTCATCGCGTCAAAAGGCGGAGCGCTCGGTCACGGGCGCAGCTTCCTTCTGTGGCAGCTTCCTCTTTTTTCAGAACAGCATAAACCGATCCCAGAACAGCATGAAGCGGCATGTACCCGTCTCCTCGTCCATATGCGGATCCCATGTAAATGAGGATCGTTTATGCGTTTTGCCGCTGAAGAATCGAGCAATGTTATTGTTTAATTTCAGATGACGTTTTCACAAATTTGAATTAATGGATTTAGGACCCATCTTCTCCACCAAGGGATTTAAGTGTCATTACAAAACACAAAAAGGACACATTTTCCATAACACTGAATTTCTCACTTGTTGCATGTAGTTACATGCCTCATGTTCAAGAGTAATGTGACCAAAACACAGCAGCATCGCCCACCTAATCTCACTGTCAAACAATGTCCTAGTTGTTTCACTTCCTGCTTTCAAGAGAAACAAATACCTACTTTGATTCAATGTTTACATTGGTTTATCGGATGATTATGTTTATTTTGTTTGTATGTTGATAGGAAGACATTTTCACAACTCTTGAATACCAGTCAGGAGTAATATTTAAAGTTTTAAAAACTTGTTCAGCAAAACATAACAAAGTATTCAAATGAGTATTACTCATCATAACCACAAGTTCACTTTTGTGTGATTAGTCAAAGTGGAGCTAAATATATTTACGCTACCCAGTGATTAGTTGATAGATTGTTGGTTGATAATTCATGTGTTGGGTATTTTTTAAGGTAATTATAAACAATAAAAGAAAATATAGTTGACACTGGACTAAAAAGTACAATATTTCCTGTGGACTCAAAATAGTTATTGAGTCAAAAACCTTCGCCTGGGGTTTTGTTAGAAGGATAATTAATCCTGTTTAAATGGGCTGTTCCTTAAATATAAAACCTCTGTGCAGAGGAGAGCCATTGTATTTGAGATGCCCAAAAGCATAAATAGGATATCATGCCGGCTTGAATTCACAAAGGTAAGAAAGGTTTATCTTCTTCCCTCACAAACAATACTACAAAAAATCATTCATGACTGCAAAGCATCAGTTACTCTCAGCTTAAAGACATATGAGAAATGAAATGATGTCACTGGTTGTTCATATTGTTCAATGTGGTTTGAAATACTTTGAATTTAACTTCCTGATCTCAATATAGTCCATTTAAAAGAAGTAAGAAGTAGAAGTCAAAGAAGTAAGGCTATTTAAAATGGCAAAGTGCTATTATTAGGCAATTATAGCCTATTTATTATATTAACCATAACTTTTCCCCAAATAACATAAAAACAGGCCAGCTGAGTGTCTTACTAGAAGGCTATATATTATAGTATTGGTTTACTACGCTTGTAGATGGCTGCTTAATGTAACTACTTTATGTATCGGTATGTGTTTTTCCAGAAACTAAATAATACAATATCTCTGAAATGTCAACAAGGCCGAGATCCTCCTTTTGGCACTGGCACGCAATGGCAGGTCTGTGGCAGTCGCCAGTCAGGAGTCACAACAGCGACACCCGTTGTGGCACCTGGCCTGCCCACCGGCTTCCCACCCGAGGTGCCACAGTCCGGATGCCAGGCTGATGCCGCTGCCACATACATGCCACAAGGAGGATGCCGCTGTCTCTCTGAAATGTAGCAAATTTCAGAGAGACAGCGGCAAAAGAACTTAAAATGAAATTCATGTAACATCACAATACATCACACGTAGACACAGTTAATTTGCATGACTGCAAATAATCCAATTTATGATGATGATGATGATGCTTCATGGTTCATGGCGTCTACATTACCCACAATGCATTCTGAGGTGTTATGCTAATAACGGCTGATGTACTGTAGCCTGAAACCGATAGGTGTATATAAGCAGAGAATGGCAGGCAGGTTACAGAAGTCTGGCAAGCTAAATTATTATTTTTAAACGGATGTTAAAAAATTAACATATTCGCAGCTCCGACCGACGACGCGTGAGTGAAATCACCGCGGTTCAACAATATTCACATACAAGGGAGCGGTGGTACTTTAACTACCTTTAAACCCATCTGTGTGAAATAACTTTTCAACCACTGTCCTTGAGCAAATGGTCTTAATTGTTCCCCGCCGCCGGCTACGCTTCGCTTGACCGAACCACTCGTCGTCCTCGCGGTGTGAGTCCGCAGCATCCGGGCCAGCGGCTCATCAGCATGTGAATGAACGGCCCCTTCGCGCGCCCCTTCACCGCAAGGTCTCTGATTTGGGTTCCGCTCATCGAAGGTGTCTCTGCGGCTGTGAAGTCGCCCTTTTGTGTTGGTGTACTTTTACCGCGTCACCGTACGTGTTAGTTGACACAACAGGAGGAGTTTTGTTTTGTTTTCTTCATTTTCTTATTAACTTTTATCAGGGGCGGTGTAATGTCGCTGTTGGTCAGTGACGTCACTCGAGAACAGGTTGCGAACAGGTTTGAGGAAAGAGGAAGCTGTTAAAAAGAAGCCGACAGCCACTCCCAAACCTGCCGCGGCCACCTGGTGTCCCCGGAACAGAGGACCGAATCCTGGGATCCGCGATGAGCCGCGCTGCCGGGGGAGGGAAGGAGGGAGGGACGGGAAACGCGATGAAGCCTTTGCGGACATAAAGCTCGTCCCGGCCCGCTCCTCCGCTGGATGCTGTTGCTTGAATAAAATAAAGTGAAAACTACTGCTTTTTTCCGGGTAAGTTTGGCGGCCATTGTTGTTTGCACCTGTTGCAAGGTGACGGGGACACGCGACGTGTTGAGTGCAGCCTCTCCCAGTTTACCCAGTGGATGTGTGCATCGTACCACCGTCATTACCCGTGTGTTTGCTTTAACGACGGTCCTTCGGCACTTTTAAACACAATTAGACGTGTGAATTCCGACGGTTATCTTGAAAACTTTACATTTGCTGCGTTTCTG